CTGACGCCGCTCACCAGTCACCAGCTGACCGAGCAGCAGTAGCAGGTAGCGCTGGCGTCGGAAGCGGCGGCGCGGAGGCTATGGCCCACGGGAGGTAGAGGAACAGCCTGCGGGAGGCTATCCGGGAGCTCCACCGTCGGTCACCAGCATGGCTGCACTGGGGAGGAGGGGATGGGGATGGGAAGGGGGTGGATGGAGAGGCCGAGAGGAGGAGGTTGGTGGGGGTGGACTACTGGGGGGTCGTGGGTGAGGATAAGTTTTTTTCTGGTTTTTGGAGGAAGAGGTATTGGGCCTAATCCAGTGATATATTTCGGTTTTTTCGGTCAATTCGGTTAACCGAGCCCTAAAACTGAATTTGACCGAACTAAATTCGGTTTGTAGAAAGTGCTGATTCGAATTTTTCGGTCTCGGTTAGTTCGGTTTCGGTCTCGGTCTCGGTCATTTCGGTTCGGTCTTCTTTGCCCACCCCTACTCGCGGGTGAACCCCTAATAGGAAGGAGCTGAATCCTATTCCTAGCCGACAACTCCAATGCTGCCCCCACCACCACCACTTCTGCCGGAGATGATCCCCGGTTAGCGAATGGCCAAAGGGATCTACATCCCGCCCTTCCACATGACGGCACGGATGGCGACGAGGGAGGCCAACGACAGCGCTGCCTCTGCCGCCGAGTACCAGCGTCTCAGCTAGGACACCCTGAGGAAGAGAATCAACGGCCTGGTGAATACGGTAAGCGTTGCCAACCTCAGGAGTGTGGCACCGGAGCTGCTCGCTGAGAACCTGGCCTGCGAGTTCCAGTTAACAATTTAATTTAGCATTGTAAAACAAAAGGACAACTCCTCCACTTATAGATGTATAAAGACTATCATGTTCGTTTCCACTACAAAGAGTGGATAAAATATTGAATATTTATGGCACGCTTTTCAAACTGTTAAACAGTGTGTCTTGTGTGAAAATTTTCTATATGAAAGTTGCTCTAAAATATTAGATTAATCTATTTTTCTAGTTTGTAATAATTAAAACTTAATTAATCATATGTTAATACCACCTTATTTTTCGTAAAACACTTAATTTTCATCTTTATCTTTTATCTCCAGGAGAAAAGAACATTGGTTTAAGATTTAAGATTTTTGGATAAAGGAAGTACTATATGGCCGTTTGGTTCTCTACCTTACCAATGATATCATTGGTAGTACCAAATTTTTGGCATATTTTAACACTACCAAATCTTTGGTATGGTAGAGATTTATTTTTTTTGAACGACTCGCACTAAGACGGTGCGAAGTTCTATTGATAGAACAGGAAAAAATTACGAGATTACAACCCTAGATGGTCATAACCAGGAAAATGGAAAAAGTATACCACCACCTACACACCGACAACGCCAACACACATATCTAGGAGAAGGTTAGCACGGACCGGCCGCTGCTAAGCGTGACCGACCGCCGCTAGGCCAACAAAGGAAGACAGTCGAGATCACCCAAAACCCAACCCTTACAATCAACACAACGCTCCACTCTATCCAAGTCTTCACGATTTAGGGATTGAGGGTGAGAGAGAAGAATGTAACTCCTCTCCCCCTAGGCCCTCCTACGCGGCCAACTTGTAGAAACTAGAACGCCACCACAAAAGGACTAGAATCTAGAGCGGGGTTGCACCAATTGCTTGAGGGGCTTCGGCAAGGGGATGCCTCGACGATGTCTCTAGGGAGAGAAGCGACGGGAAACCGCCACCGCCGTCCGTCAAGGTCTCAAAGAGAACCGAGACTGAGCTTTCACCTGGCAGCCACCCTTGAGGGGTGAGATGGCATGACAACGCTCTAAGGAGGGGAATGGCACTCGAACGTCATTGTTGTCGATCCGGCCAAGGCCAGGCTGGGTTTTCACCCGCTGTCCATCACCTGCCGATCTTCTACAAATGCACCATTGCTCCACCGCCATCAACACCTTTGCCGGCGCATGGGCTTCACTGCACCAGCGCCCCCCGCTGGCCAGTCTCCCCGTGCTGCCACCTCACCGGTCTCCATCTCAACCAGCTTCACCTCCTGCTGCGCACTTTGGCGTGCCACACCGGCACCGCCGGCCACACTCCACGCGCTCATCATGCTGGTTGCCGGCTGAGCCATCGCTGAGCTGGCCATGCCAGCCGCAATCCCTGCCAGCCATCCACAGCCTCCGTGCGCCGCCGTTGCGTCTGCCGCTGCCTCCCGGGTCTCAGCCGTCATCGTGGCCCTTCTGCGCCTCCGCCGCCGTTGCAGCCTCATGCACCTCCGCGCACGTCGCGCCTGCCTCAGCCTCCAGCACCTCCGTCAACCGTCGTCGTTGCCCGCTGCTTGCCGCCGTCGCTCAGCCACAGTCATTGTCGTCGCCAACGGCTGTTTGGCCAGATCCGGCCGCCGTGGGCCAGACCTCACCCGCCACCGCCACCATCGGGCGTCGCTGCCGCCGTTGCCACCACAATCGTGCGCCGCCGCCAGCCGCCTCCCCACCAGATCCAAATGCGGATCTGGCGGACTTTCCCACCGCTGCCAGCACTCCCAAACTCCGATGCCACCGCCGTGCCGCCAGATCCGGCCGAGCAGCACAGATCTAGGCGGTTTCCTCCGTCCCGCGCAGCCCCCCTGCCCGAGCGCAACAAGGGGAAAATGAAGCCCCGCCGCCGCCGTCACTGCGGCCGCATGGCTTTGCCGACGGCCGCTCGGGCTTCGGCGAGGCGGAGGAGGAAGGAGGGGGGACGCACGCCGGCGGGGTCGTCGCCTCCCGTATCGTCCAAGGGGGAGGGGCGACGCGAGAGTCTGTTTATGTGTATAAGTATATGGTAGAGATTTATTACATATGCTTGGATTGCTTTAATATGATGCCAAATATTGATGGTATAGATAATAGAGAAAAATATTCTAGATTAGTGCCAAATTGAATATAGGCATTGCCAATAATTTTTACTTCAATAGGATATATTATAACATCAATTCAAAAACATCATTCTCGGCAGATTGGCATGGGAACTAGGCGGTGGCCATTCTGTTGGGTGGCCCGCACGCTCGCGCCAAGTATCAGTATCAGTGATCGATCGGAGCCAGCCGCGTAGCCGACAGTGACACGTCGACATGGCATCTGCGCTGGTATAGTTGGCCGGGCACAAAATCCAAGTGAGCTAAGCAACCGATCGACACCAAGAGGCGCGAGTCGACACGATCGATTCTAAATCTAAACGGTCGCGCGTCGCGACTAGCCTGTCATCTTTTTGCCTATAATTACTTATAAACTAAAATTTAAATTTTTAATTCTAAATTTAGAGTTGATTCTGAGATTTATTTTTCATCTTAATTTATTTTTCAGTTTTTATTTTTAGATTGCTAAAGACACATATGTAAAAGTTTTATTCAGGAATTATTTTTCATCTGCAAACAAGCCAAACGATGACCCCGTGGGCCATGTGGGACGCAACAGCCTCGTGGGCCGGCATGTGATGAGATGTGGCTTGCCCACCACAAAAGTACAGTACTAGTATGCTGCTGGTGCTGTGCCACGCTTCTTGTCACCTCCACGGCCGTGCCTTACCCTACACGAGGTTGAATTTCGCCCTTTTCTTTTCATTTCCGTTTACCAACCAGGTATTCCTACCAATTATCTAACTAAAAAGAAGACATTCCTACATTTTTCTGGTCACAAATATATACCGTATATTCTATTTTGCCATTATAGGACGGGTCTTTAACCACGGAATTTTAATTACAATTAACTTGTAAAATCTAACAAGTCTATGAGATTATGAAAGTATTTTTTTAACTATTATCAAGAAAAGGAAAGGAAAGTAATTTTCACGATAAATCTACCCCTCATCATCTTTAACAAATATTTCAAATATGTGGTCAAAGTTTTAAAAGTAAACGACATATGTTTCATTTGAGATAGTACTCCCTCCGTTTTATATTATTAGTCATTTTGTCTTTTTCTAGTCAAACTATTTTAGATTTGATTGGGTTTGTAGAAAAAAGTTATAATATCTACCACACCAAATTAGTTTTTTTAATGTAATATTGAATATATATTTTGATTATATATACGTTATGTTACTATTTTTTCTATAAACTTGGAAATCTAAATAAGTTTGTTTAGGAAAATAATCAAAATGACTTATAATATGAAACGGAGAGAGTAATTGTTTTTGGAAACTAAAATTACTACAACACCTCTCCGGTACATGCTTTGTGTAGTGTAGGTAAATCAAATACACATAGGCCTTGTTTATATTCCAAAAAAATTGGCAAAAAAATATCACATCAAATATTTGGACACATGCATAGGACACTAAATGTGAAAAAAAAATAATTGCACAGTTTGCATGTAAATTGCGAGACGGACCTTTTGAGCCTAATTACGACATGATTTGATAATATGATGTTACAATAAATATTTGCTAATGACGAATTAATTAGGCTTAATAAATTCGTCTCGCAGTTTACAGGTAAAATTTATAATTTGTTTTGTTATCAATCTACGTTTAATACTTCAAATGTGTATTCGTATACTTAAAAACTTTACACCCAAACTACTAAACACACGCGTAGTATTATTTTTTGCAGTCCTACCGACGATTCCAGCCCACCACACTATGCAAAGCACGTGCACCCCCCATTTGGTATCTGTCCATTTGTGCAACGGCACAAAATGCTTTACAGTAGTTTATCTTCTCCAGCCACAAGCCAAGCCAAGCCAACACCCCATCCTGAAAGATCACCACTTTTTACTGAAGAATCTTGAGGTTTCCACTACAAAATTCTCATTGCTGTTCTTTTTTTCCCCTCTCTCTTTTAATACTTTTAATAGTGGCTCCCGTGCCAACCACGACTCAGAATCACCATCAACCAAAAAAAAAATGAAAAGCACCAACGGCCACGCTACACCTGTAGTACTCCTACATGGCAATCTGCGGGTGACGTCACCTCTTTAAGCCCCCCCCTTTTTTTTTGCGCCCCTCAAAAAGCTCTGCGCGCATCAATCAATCATTCCCCCGCCTCATCTCCTCTCCTCTCCTCCCCCCTGCTTCTCCGACCAAAGCCGCGCCGCGCATTCCGCCGCCATGTCCGCCGCGCTCCACACGCTCCCCGCCGTCGCCGCTGGCGGCCTCGGCTGTCGGTGGCGGCGGCCCTCCGCGACGCTACGGGCGGCGAGCTCCGTGGGGACGGCGTCGGTGGCGGTGTCCGTGAATGCGGAGACGCAGCAGCAGCGGCAGGTGGGTGTGGAGGAGGAGGAGAAGAGGAGGGAGGATGCGGCGGAGGTGAGGACGGGCAGGGTGGTGGAGGCTCTCTACGACGACGGGTTCGGCGGCGTCACGGTGAAGGACTACTTCGCGGCGGCCAGGGCCGTCTCCAGCGACGACGGCGGCCCGCCGCGGTGGTTCTGCCCCGTCGACGCCGGCCGGCCGGCGGTGGACAACGCGCCGCTGCTGCTCTTCTTGCCAGGTATACGTTAATTACGTTGCTTCCGTCCAAATATTCACAGCTAATTACTGTTTGTTCGCGGCTACAATTATATTACAGAGTAAAAACCAGACTTAGCAGCAAATCACATGATGAGACAATTGCCATGTCCCTGCAGGATCATAATCCACATATTCATTTTTCATATCAGTATTATACCATTATATATTTTTTTTCATTTCCTGGGGTAGTGTTCAGCTATGAATATATATATATTTCGATATGCTAACTCGGATAAACAGAGGAATACTACTGTCAAAACTCTTGGAAAATAAATACAGTAAGTTCTAACTTGGTCCACATGTCAGCGATAAAATCACCGTGATTTTGAAGACATAGGATCCTGGTATGGAAGAAACAAAGGAAGATCTCCCAAAAAGGCTGTCGCCTGAGTGGTTAAATTAGAGTATTGCGTGTTAACAATTTCTGATTAGATTTGACTGCACAACAGGAACTGATGGTGTTGGAATGGGGCTCATTTTGCACCACAAGTCTTTGGGAAGGTGACTTCTTTCTTCTGATAAAGACACAACGACTTCTCTAGCTATATTTACACTTTTGGAGTTAACTAGCTTATGATCTTCCTTTGCCGACTTTATTGGTTTCCTTTCTGCAAAGTTCCATTAAATTATTTTGATATAAACACTTCCTTTTTTTTTTCTGCTTAGGTTATTCTGAGTTTGTGCCAGTAACTGTTGTAGTAGTAGTACTGTAGTACAAAAAACTACTTTTGTTTATATTTTTATATAAGTGCACTTGTCTCCAGTACTCAATCGTCCTCTACACCAAGTTATAGCTGTAGTCTTTTGCTGAATAAAAAAACCACAATTCAATTTAATTGTTTCCCCCTCCATCTCGAATCTGCAGGGTATTCGAGGTTCGCTGCTTGCATATACCAGTGAATGATCGTACGCCATTTGAAGGTAATAAATAAATAAATTATGTTATTATCCACTTAGGCTTCTTCACTATTATTAACAAAACTAGGAAGATTCGCGCGGGCATACGTGTACGCTAAATTTGAGGTATTTATAAAAGCGAGATATTAACCGGAGAACATCTACCACGATTTCTCCATAAATTGTTTTTTGTCAGCATTAATTAATTGTTTAATAATATTTTAACCTATTACCCTTATATATATCATATATAAGTAATATCTATAAGCAATTATTTATAATCTTCTTCATCATTTGAAAAGAAGGTAGATTTATTTTCTTTAGAAAATATGTCAACGAAAGTAAAATAAGTGTAAAATAAAAATAAGGTGTTTTCTTTTTTTAATTGTATAATATATTATCATAATATGTTAAAAGATGTATTGGGTGGGACATGAAGCTCCACGAAATACATGGGTTTAATTATATAGCCTAATATGATTGATATATTTTGAGAGACGATCTATCTATGAACATTTCATGTAGTGTGGATGAGAGACTCCACGCAACCTAGTAGGAATACTATAACAACGAAGTATCATTGCACAGTAATATTTTTGAAATGTCATGTACCATGAATAAACACTTTTTCATATATAAGATAGATCTAATGATTAGAAATAGTGGTTCTACCGGTTTAAAAGGCATATGAGTATTTAAAAAATGTAGCTTAAAAATTATGGTTGTTTTTATGTCCAACATAATAAAGTGAGCGTAGTTCAACTGGTTAGGTTTCTTGTTGTCAAAATTGTCCACCCATGTTATTAATCAGAAGGTTTAAAATCTATTATGATTTTTTCTTAAAAATATATGAATTAGTGAACAAAAGCTATAGTTCGTAGAATATATATGACTAAAATAATGAATTTCTTTAATAATATAGTTAATTTAGATTTTCAATTTTAAATTTTATAGTAAATAATCTAATAGTGTGCGCAAATAAAAATTATCTATATGATTTAGATAATATAATTGTTTAAAATTTGTTATCATAAAATATTTTTTCCATGTAACTAAAAGAGGAAAACAATATATGGGAGAGGTAAGTACACATGCATACTGGACAGGCAGGGAGGGTATACGGGCCCTTTTTTATCATTTTGTATTTGTATAAATCATAAAATATTTTTTTCCATCTAACTAAAAAGGAAAATAGAAGAGAAAGGAAATATATAGGGGAGGTACATACGTACGCAAGCACACCTACTGGACGGGAGGGGTGGGATATGCGCGTCCTTTTTATCCCTTTCTATTTGGATAAATAAATCTAATGGTAGAAAATAATGGGTCCACAGTATATTAGTGAAAATTGACGACTAGATGATTAAATGCCACGTGGCAGTGTAGGAGCGATTATAGAAATAGTATGTGGCGGTGTATAAATCATTAAATATTTTTTCTATCTAACTAAAAGGGAAAATAGAAGATAAATGAAATATATGGGGGAGGCACATACGTACGCAAGCACATGTATGGATGGGAGGGGTGGGACATGCGGGCCGAGATGGCTGTTGCGCGGACGTGTGCGAGAAGGAGTTTGCACGAACGGACACGTGGGCTGGGCTCATTCTAGAAGAGTGCATGCAAGTCTATCTGATCTGAAAAAAATATGATATATACATGTCCCTTTCTTTCAAGCTGGAAATACATGCATGTTTCGGTATATAAAATAATTTTGCATGCGGATGTAGTCATAATTATAATTTCTACTTATTGAGTGATTTTATCATATAATAAAATGGTGCATTTTGCGTATAATTTTTAAAGTCCTATTAATAAATATTTAATTGTTGTAGAAAGTTTCCTAAAGTTTATGAATATAAACATTTTCCATAGAAAGTTTGTGAATGGATTTTTTTAATCTTACATTTTTTTATTTTTTGAATCCCATGAGTTGATTTTTTTTAATTACCGAAGAAAGTTTCCTAATAGAATTTTTTTGCCATGTAAAGTTTATGGATACAAAGGATTATTTTTGTACAAAGTTTATGAGCAGATATTTTTTAAAAAAATTTTGAATAGGGCTTTAATATGAATGGCATGTTTAAAATTTAGGATATAAATTATTGAATATAATGTGTTGCTATTAAATACTGAAAAAAAATACCACACTAAATATGGTGGGCTTGCTACTTTTGTATGCATGGAGCTGAAATTTCTTAATAACACCTACGTATGCTAATTACACAGTACTAATTAACTGATGAGTGCTAATTAACGCTAATTAGGATATAAATTTATTACGTGTAGCATTGCTCATTAGGTAACAGGGATTCGACGGATCGGAGACGTTCGCAACAGGCGAATGCTATGCGGGCACTTCTTTTTATCTCTTTCTATTTACATAAATAAATCTAATGGTAGAAAATAATAGATCCACGGTATATTAGTAAAAATCGACCGCTAAATAATTAAATGCCACGTGACGATGTAGGAGCGATTATAGGAGCGCTATGTGGTGGCTTAATAGCGTTTATAGGATGTTTAATGGACTTTTAGTATATAATAGATAGATAGATAGATAGATAATTAAATGTTTAAGTAAAAGCTGTAACTCATAAAGAAAAAAGAGAATATGCATAAGCTTGTATTATTTTATTTCCCTATTTGCGTTAAGAATTTGATGTTTTCTACGCCTCTACCGAAGCGTATCCCCCAGTGAATGAAGAGCCGAAGCAACCTGAGCAGCTCGTCGTTGGGCAGCTGCGACGCCGTCTTGCCGGCGAGCGCGGCGGACCGCAATGCTCCGGCGATCCTCTCCTTGAACGCCACGACCTCTTCCCTGCTGAAACCACTTGCGACGCCGACGTCGCCGTCGCGGTCATCCTCATTGTTGCCGACGACGACGACGCCGCCATCTTCACTGCCGCCGCCGGCGTGTCCTTGGGCTAGCCTTAGCAGCTCGATGACCATCTCGTCCTACTTGAAGAGGACGCCGAGTGTCTTCCTCTTCTTCTTGCTCTTCTTCTTCTTGGGCGGCGGCTGATGCTGCCGCTGGAGCTTGTGCTGTCCGGTGCACGCGCGCGTGAACGCGAGCCACTCGTGGAGCTCGACGCCGGCGGCGAACTCCTTGGGCCGGGTCTGCTTGGGGCGGATCTCGACGAGGGAGGAGAACTCCGGCCTGCTCACGTCCATGAGCAGCCGCACGTCGGCGACCAGGCGCGCGTTGGTGGCGAGGAGGTTGCGCTCCCCGTGCCCCGGCGTGCCCATCAGCCGCCGCGCGAACCGCGCCCTGAACCGGTGGGAGCCGATCAGCAGCTTCGCGGTCAGTGGCGACGAGATCCCGTATGGGATGCTGGCGACGCAGATGTCGAACTTGGGGAGCTCGATCGCCATGGAGTCGCCCGTGGTCACCTGGCAACGGGAGAAGAAGAGAGGATCAGCGTTTTTTTTTTCTTCATTTTTCTTTGAGGCATTCTGTCGAACGCGTGGGCGGGGACCGTGAGCTTGTGCGCGAGGCCGAGGCCGGCGGCGAGGGCTGTGACGGCGTCGACCGGGCGGAGCGGAGCGCGGCGTGCGCGACGATGGCGTCGAGGACGCGCGGGTTGGTGAGGAGATGCTGCCCGCGCGCCTTGTGCAGCCAGAACCCTCCTCCGTGCCGGTGCCACGCCGCCGCCGCCGCCGCAGTAGGCGAGGCCGACCAGGAGCAGAGGTAGCGAGCGCCGCCGCGTTGGGCTCGGAGGAAGGAGACTCCTCCGACGTTCATGCCATCTTTTGGTCGACAAAAAAAAATTACAACGGTGAAAAACTATTCATCTGCATGGAATTTAGGAATTTTCGTGCACCGTGGTAATTTCAGCATGATGTAAGGCCATTCCCAATCTAAGACACCAGATATAGTTCATAAACTCCACGTCATCAAGAAACTAGGACTAGACAATAATTTTCCAATGCAAACAACACTATTTCATATTTAAATTTAATGCTACTTATCTCACAGGATGTCTTGAATGTTATGTAGAAATCATGTCTCATGACATGGTTTCCTTTTCTTTCCTTATTTATTCACTTGACACATCATTTTTATCATATGTGGCAACTTATTTAATGCTATAGACACTATTTTAGTCATTGGGTTGGGAATGGGCTAACAAAGCCCAAAGGCTTATTAGAATTTAGGAAATTAATTCAAAGCGAAATTATGACCTTGAATTTAAATCAAACTGCTAATGCGTGTGAATACAATGCATACAGGGTTGTTGCAGATTGTGGAAAATTCTATCAAATATGAGCATGCTATGTCACCAAACCGACCCATATATCTCATCGGGGACTCATTTGGAGGATGCCTAGCACTTTCGGTGGCAGCTCGTAATCCACAAATTGATCTGGTTCTCATACTGATTAATCCAGGCAGGTGAAATTTTCTTTAGTTCTATTTTAATTGGTAACGTTCCTTCTCATAAATTTGTTTGAGTTGTAGTAACAAACAACCTTCAATGTTGCCAGCAACGTCCTTTGCAAAGACTCCGTTGCAGCCGATATTACCTGTGTTGGAAGCAATGCCAAGTGAACTTCATGTCACAGTTCCATATCTTCTCAGTTTTGTCATGGGTATACCTCTTTTTAGCTTGTAAGTTCGTTAATATACATTCATTCTAGCTTTGTTGTTTTGTGTGTTTTGGCCAATCGGATGATTTGCTATGCTTGTAATGCAATACACTTTTTTGATCCAGCCTGAGAACCAAAGCATCTTTTTATTGCTTACTGTTCATTTATTTCTTATTATATTGGGAAACGGTCTTTGGTAGTCCAATGTTCCAAAAGGTAGCCTTAAACTTGGAAAATTCATGCCGGGTCACTGATCAACAACTCTAGTATGAAGCATACTAGTTTTTACATAAAAGCATATTAGCTTTTACATTTTTTTTTTGGAAATTTATCTTAGTATTTTCATCCAGGATTCTATCTCAGCATATTTACAATTAACACTCAACACTTCCTTTTGTATCTTTTTTAATTGATCTAAAGATGGTGTGTGAACAGGCGATCCTCTTAAAATGGCTATGGTCAGCGTTGAGAACAACCTTTCTCCTCCAAAAACTCTGCAGAAGTTGTCAGATAGTCTCACTTCCATGCTGCCTTTGCTTTCAGTATGTTATTATCATACCTTATTTTCATTTCCTCATCTGGTTCTATCTATTACTCATTTTTACATAAACAACAACATGTGCATGAGGAATATCTACATTTTTATGCTTTTAAACTTAAAAGTAATGACTAAATTTTAAAACATTACTAGCTAAATGTTGCCACTTTTATCTATGGATCCAGATAAGCATTTTCAAATAACTAAGTTTTTTGTAATTTGAAACTTTTGCTCCAATGGCAGAATACATGTATTGAAAGAAATGCTTTTACAAAGTAATGCTTTTTCAGATCACATCGTGAAATGTTGGGGCAGCATGTATTTCTTTTAGCTCTTTTTGTTTTTTTAAAAAAAAAACCAAATTAGCTCTTTCTTTTAGCCGTAGTGCAGCTGAAATCAGCTACAATTTGGGCATTCTCAAGGAGATACATAATACTTCGTACTATTTGAGAAAACATTTCATCTAATTATTTTTCATTCCTTTTTGTTATTTCTCAGGAATTGGCAGATATCATACCAAGGGATACTCTTTTCTGGAAACTCAAGCTGCTGAAGTCAGGAGCAGCCTACGCTAACTCTCGTCTTCATGCTGTACAAGCTGAAGTTCTACTTCTTGCTAGGTAGCCTGAATGCCTGATACATGACACTACAGCATGTATTCTGTAGTTCTATAATCTGGATTAATCCTATAAATTCGGTCTTATGCTGAAACACTAAATACTTTTATTCAGTGGCAATGATAATCTTCTGCCAAGTGGAGAAGAGGCAGATAGACTCTTCAAATCACTGAAAAACTGCAGAGTTCGGTACTTCAAAGACAATGGCCATACACTACTGTTGGTATGACGCATCACACTTCAATTTTATAGTAACCTGTTTTATTGGGGAATTGGCTTCAGATCCTTAGGAAACAGAATCTACAAAAATACCAAAGGAATCTCCTCATGCAAGCACTACCTAACTATTTTGGACAGGAGGACGGTGTTAATCTTTTATCAGTCATAAAAGGAGTAAATATGTACCGCCGTGGCAGACAACGGGATCCTGTGACGGATTACATTCCCCCGACATTGAGTGAGTTCAAGAAAACATTCGATGAAGATCACAAGTATGTTAACGCACTATGAGAATTCAAAATTCTATTTTACTTTTGCATGTAATTTTGCCATATAAATGAATCAGTAATTAGCGAACTAAAACTTCTGCAGATTGTTTCACCTTGCATTGAGCCCAGTCATGCTGTCTACCCTGAAGAATGGGAAGATTGTTCGTGGCCTTACTGGTGTTCCTGACCAAGGTCCTGTCTTGTTTGTGGGTTATCATGCACTGATGGGGATCGAGTTGAGTCCATTGTACGAGGAGTTCTTGAGAGAGAAGAGAACAAGTTTCCGTGGTATGGCTCACCCAATTTTATTTGGAGGAAAACATGAGAGTTCGCGACAGGAGCTGTCTCGGTTCGATACAATTTCTATGTACGGTGGATTACCAGTCACTGCGATCAATATGTATAGGTTGTTTGAGAGAAATCAATTTGTTTTGCTCTATCCAGGCGGTGTGCGGGAAGCTCTTCACAGGAAGGTGCGTTTAATATCTCTAATTTGCATCGACAAATATGAAATATATGGTCATAAATATATCAAGTCAGAATTAACTAAATCGCACATGTACTGATCTTGTCAGTCATGAAAAAATGTCAGTGTTCTGCATAGAAAAAAAAAACATCTTTTGCCCTTACTGTAATGATTCTGTTGTACTTTGCAGGGTGAAGCATACAAGTTGTTTTGGCCAGACCAACCAGAATTTGTAAGAATGGCAGCACGTTTTGGTGTTACTATCATACCATTTGGTTTTGTAGGAGAAGATGATGTTTTAGAGGTAAACTTCCATCTATTTCTCCTCCACCATATATCTAAAATTTTCAGATGTGCGACTAATTCTTTTTCAGAAGAAAATTTTGATTCTCTCTCTAAAAAAGGAGAAATGTTGCAAATATGCCTGTGATTTTTGCTGACCTCCTGCAAAATACCACTCTATCAGTTCTTGTGTGAAAAACAAGGATGCCATGCATCTTAGCACTGTTTCCTTTTTTTTCTTCAAGAAGCAGAGTCATCAAATAACCACACATGCATGATTGCTCAATATCTTGTGTGGTGGTGATGCAGTTTCTGTTTGTGGTTATCCATCTTGTTTCTATGACGAGTAAACATTCTTGTTTCTGCAGTTGGTCGCCGACTACAATGATCAAAAGAACATTCCCTACCTTCGGGAATGGATTGAGTCGATTAACCGAGAAGCCCAAAGAGTAAGGTAAGATTTCTATCATCCCTTCGTATTTTGGCTTTCTCAACAGGGGTAATCGCCCCATATCACGATGACTTTAGAACTTCGGCTAAATACTACAAAATTCAAAGCTTGACAAAAACATCACTCAGTTTGCCACAACTTAACCTCATGATAGTGCAAGTAAGAATATTACTACAAGAATCTTGCCACAAAGTGATGGGATTGCAAAAGAGCACACTTTTATTTGTTCATTATGTGTTCACATAATTTGTTTCAGGGATAGCGTCAAAGGAGAGGATGGAAATCAAGACGTTCACATACCTGCTTTGCTCCCCAAAGTGCCAGGCCGGTTCTACTACCTATTTGGCAAACCAATCGAAATGAAAGGTATGGATAATGTCGTCAGAGATAGGAAAAGTGCAAACGAAGTGTATTTGCATATCAAATCCGAAGTAGAGAGCTTAATGTCATATCTGAAGAGGAAGAGGGAGGAAGATCCTTACAGAAGCATAGCGCAGCGTGCAGTGTACCAGGCATCTTGGGGTGCTTCTGCAGAGGTCCCAACATTTGAACCATGAAGGTTGGGTGATCTCGTGGTACTGTGATTGAATGAGCATCGGCAATCTTGTGTTCCGAAGCAAACATGGAAAGGGGGTATTATCTGTTGGAAGTAAATAGCATTTTCAGTAGGCTGGCTGCAAGCCTGCAACTCTTGAATCAGTTACACATTTTGATGGAACATACCCCCAAATAGGCCATTATACAAGTGTATAGTAAAGTAGAACAGATATATCTGAACAGTTTTTTTTTTGTTATATATTTTAACCAATGTATAGTGATTGATATACAGACTAGTTACTGATGAATGGAATTCTTGCTCATACATAAGGGTTCCATCTTTTTTTTTTCTATAATACAAAAGTGATATTCTTGGGCTCTGAACTAAGGAGTTGCTAAGTCCAGTTGCCAGCTGAACCTGTTGTAACTACCTGATTATAAGACCACCTTTGCGGCTTTGCCATTGGATTGTACACATTGCAGCAGGGGGGGGATTAAGCATCACCAAATTTTTGATGAACATCCAGGCATAAAATTTATAGAAACCAGACAATATGATCTTCAAAACTGAAACGCGAGGAGATACTGGTAACTGATACCATATCTTTAAGGTACAAAATCTGTAACTGATGGAATGCAATGACCCAACAAGACCAAATTGAAGTTGAATAGTAAACTCTCTAGATTCTCCAGATTGCTTTCTCAAATTAAAAAAAAAAATCTCCAGATTGCAAAGTAGGTGTTTTAACATTTTGCGTGCATTCTAAGCTCCTAATTTCCTAGACGGCTAACAAGCTGAAACAATTTGCACATACTTCAGCTTTACTCCATTTCTGTTTATGTAGAAGTAAAATTTCATTCAACATCGAATCCCTTCTCTTGGAGTTCTTGTACGACCTCATTCCTCATCCGAAACCAGAGCTTCTGTGCTTCTTGGTCAAACTTTTTTGACTGCAATTGTTTCTGCATGTTATCAGAGTCCATGTTGGAATCAGCAAAACCTTTGGGTCCAATTGTGGTGCCTAGAGCACCTCCACTTTTTATGAACTCCTCAACTGCCTCTTCATCACCTGGGTATGGAAACATCCTGCGCTCGTAAAGGTGGGCCATTTCTCTTTCTTCCTGAGAAACATGGAAGATAACATATCAGAAAGGATAACTTGAATAAGAGTAAGCCGAAAGAAGTGTTAGGTTCTTAGCACATATATGGCCATAGGCTGTTAGCCACAATGTTTCAAAAGAGCTTTAGCTCACGTGGTAACAAAAATACCTATATCTTTCTGAGATCTCAATGGCAAACTATTTGTTTCTACACAACTATAATACATTTTTTTAAAAAGATATATCATTCTAATGTTTATGCACTTATGTTTCATCCTACCATTTCATGGTTGGGAATTGAGATGGATATAGGCGATACATATCAGAGGTGCTTAGGAATTGCAAATGAAGATCTATAATTGTTGGTTCAGTAAAGTATAATGTGGCATATGGACGATTAGGAGGCTACCGTATGCTATGTTTCATGCATCCAGCCAGCCAGAAAATTCATTGAATAGCATACCATCAAAATACAGAACATGCTTCTCATCAATTGATTTGCCAAAATCAACAGTGACTTCTTAAAAGAAAGATGAATACTTGACTAGAGTTCAGAATCAGGATGAATTGGCATTAGCTACTGGTGGTCCTTAACCAAGATGTTTCAGTAATTGGGTATAAAAACAGGATGAATTTATTTCTCTGCACATATATCTTACAATAAAACAAAATGCCACATCAGTTCGTTTCCACCTTGTCAGATTTCAGAGTTCAGTTTTAATTTGAAAAATATACACATGCTATTAATTAATCTCATTTCAGAGTTCTCACACCCAACTAGTATTATGCAAGAAGAATCAGACAGGGGATATCGGTGCGACTATGTGAGTTCTACCTAAGATAATAAATTCAAATAAATAAGCTTCCCTAATCAACAGTAATGTGCTAATATCTCAATGTGCTTACGGTACTTCTTTCAACAGAGTAAATAAGATTTAGAAATTTCCTAAACATAAGATGAAAGATTCAACAACACTATTAAGATGTATAGGAGATAGGAAAACAAACTGTGAGAGGAATGTCAGAATTAACAACACTGCACGGTCAACTTCTACGTCGTCTTTACAGATCAAAAAGGCTGCCAAAGTTTTCATAGATAAATTGCAGGATCAGCATTATGCTTAGGGTTTTTCCTTCTCGTTATCAATTAATTGGACTCCCAATGATGTCGCATATTTTTCAGTGCAACTCACTGTTTTTATCAACAGTAAATATTATAACCAAATGAGAATTTACAGGCCCTCCTTGTATAAAACTGTCATCATACATCACTAAGGAAAATATGCTGGTCGATTGTGCAATCAACATTACAGAAACATCTGCAAAATACCTAATCCTCCATGCTCAGAGTTATCTGTATTCAAAAATTCTGAAAAAGAAAACCCCCCAAGAAACTGATTGTATAGGCTTGGTTCCAGTTAAATCATATCTTCAGATATGCATCCCTAGACCCTAACTACAAGAAGAGATTACCTTGGGGCGCGGCTTGAGCGTCCACCAGCCGAGGGGAGAGGTCTCGTTCCAGAGCCAGGCGGCGCCGAAGAGCGCGTAGGTGCAGAGCATGCCCTTGCCCATCTGCTTCCAGAAGTAGGCGTCTTCCTTCTCCAACCCCATCCTCCTGAAACCAAAACCCCCCATACCCAGAGCGACGGCGCATCAAGAACCCGCCCATCGGTTGCGCAGGACAAGAAGAAGAACAAGGGGAGATGGAGATCACCTGAGGAGCCTCCGGGCCTGAGGGAATCCGCGCAGCATCGCGCCGTCGACCGGCGAGAGGAGAGAAGCCGCCGGTGAGCTTTTTATTTTCTCCCCTTCTTTTCAACTGAAACCGGTGAGCAACTATGTGTTCTTCCAACTGAAAAATATAGGGCCAGTTTGGTTACTAATCACAGGCAAGCCTATACTTAGAGCAAGTACAATAATTGACTATAAGCTTTTCATATCAACTGTAGCAGTGACGTAGAGGTGAGAGAAAACACCAGCGAGCCTAATCGACTATATTAGAGCAAGTTTAATAGTAGAGCTCACTACTTACTGTTAGTCAATGTTAAACCTAACATGTATAGTAGATTGGCTATAAGGTTATCTTTATTTTCTTCATCCTCTCTCTTTCTCTCACCATGAATTTAATACATATTTCTTGGAGTTTGTATGCAGTTAGCTCTTGCATGAGAGCCAACACTCCCCACTTTTTTTTATCTCTCTCTTCCACATAAGTATATAGCTTGCTTATAGCCCACTATTATCCTTGCTCTTATCGACGCTTTGTGTGCTCCTAGGCAGATGAGCAACTCACTGCCAATCAAGTCAGGAGTGATAATATATTGTGACAAGAAAAAATAGTACTTTAAAGAATAGTACATAGATCGAGCACTTCCTAAGTTATATTTAAACAATAGTTTTTGTTCATGTGTTTGTTTTGGAGTAAATAGTCAGCTCTATTATTAGACTTGCTCTTATATAGCAAGGCTATATGTTTGGAAAAAAAACTAGCCTTTAAGAGTAAGCTAAGCTTTAACTTTGTAGGACAAGAAAAATCTCGTTCATCGGGGAGAGCCAATTCGGTGGCAAAACTCCACTCGTGTGAAAAAAAGAGACAGTTGCACTCGTGTGAAAAAAAAAAGGATAAGAGCGACCCGGGTTTCTACATAATCAGAGATATTCTTCAACAACTCGTCCCAATCTTGTCGGCCTCTTCCCCCCACTTCTCACTTTCTCCGAAATCAAAGATATTCTTCAACAACTCACTCCAATCTCATCGGCCTCTTCCTCTACCTCTCGCTGGCAAAAAGTCTTTGCTGAAAATCGCCCTCTTCACTTACCCATAAAAAAGCCGCGGCCATTTGGAGGAAAATCAATTGGGAAAGAGGCTAACACGTCCGCAGAAACTCGATCTGAAGGGTGGGAGGCAAACCTGTCCATACAGCCGCTCCTAAATCTTGTTTATTCTGATGCACCAAGGCTTGTCCTCTGAATTATGAAATGGATATTCTATCTGTGAAGTATACAAACCAATCGAAATAAACTTATAGAGTGGTTTTATAAGTGGTTTTGGCCACATTGACTATTATATGGTACTTAACCTCTTAACTATGAAATGGATATTCTACCTCGTAAAGTATACAAATAAGTTGAAATAAACTTATTGAGTGGTTTTGGCCACATTGACTATTACATGTTACTTAACCTCTGAATTATGAAATGGATATTCTATCCCGTTAAGTATACAAAATAGTTGAAATAAACTTATAGAGCGGTTTTATAAGTGGTTTTGGCCACATTGACTATTACATGGCAATGGCATGTGTTAAGTATTTCTTTAACAAGCATAATGACTCTGAGAAGAGGCATATTGATGCTGATATGTAATTCTCGGGCTCGCAGATTAGTGAGAGAAATGAATCGGTTATGTTAACTTAGGCCAGATGGGCTCATGTGTGTACCATGTAAGCAATATCGTCAGCCATGTAAGCAATACCTTTAACAAAACCACTACATGGGGTATTTAAACCGGTTTGGGATTAAGTAGGCAAATCCTATATTACTCTAGAGGTTAAGTAGATTTTTTTTAAAATTTCCAAGTGTGCCCCTTAAGAGCATGTGCACTATCTAGGGACTAACTTGTTTTTTATTCCATGCATGTAAGCAGAAGCTGCTTTCTCATGCATTGTTTATCTATAGTTATTTTTTAAATTATGGGATCACCTTCTAAATAAACTAGAAAGAGATTTTTTTTTTGCAGTTCAGCGGGGTGCCGCAGTACTGAAGATGGACCGTTGGATCTCCTCAATCTCCAATGAATAAAAAATGATAGTGCTGCAAGGTACCATCGAGACCGATGAGTCTTGTCACACCTGGACTAGTACGTGGAAGAGCAGCCGCCGTAATTTCGCAAGAGTATAGACTGAATCGGCTTAAGCACATCAACCACAAACGATGTGAAACCCTAGTATTGACAGCGCTCATCAGTCTCCTTGCTTGCTGCTATCCTCGAGTATGCTAGGGTTTAGGTCACCGCCGCCGCCCTTACCACATTCCTCGGCAGCACTCTTCTCGCTGCAGAAATACTTAATGCCGCGGACCTCGCTGGCTGTATCTTCGCTGAGATCGCCGCCAATGATGTAGACCTTGCCGCTGCCACCCTTCTCCTTGGCAGCACTCTTCTCGCTGTAGCGGTACTCAATGTCATAGACCTCGCCGGTGGTATCTTCGCTGAGGTCACCACCAATGCTTCTCTCACCACCACCACCCTTGCCACGTTCCTCGACGATGCTCTTTTCGTTGTAGTATTTGTTATAAAACAATTTGCATGGATCGACATTTATCAAGTTTTGTTATCATTGAGTTTTTTCTTCCCATCTCGTGCCTCATTATGCCACACGACAGCGACGCCGATTTGCTTCAGAATCCTCTTCTGCTTCCGCTTATGCGCCGGCTATCGCTTGAGCGACCAAATGGTGGCGGTGGCCACACGACAAATAGCGCAGGTGGGGAGATGTTGCGGTCCGGTGCCGCTGTGAGATATATGCGCCGCTGAGAGAGAGAGAGATGAGGTGGGGAAAGGACTTCGGTGCTGCACGGACCTCACATGACACGTGGAGGAAAATAAATGAGCAGCATATATTCTCTCTTTTGTTACAAGGTCGCTACCCATCCTGCCCATCATAAACGGACTATCATAATTGATTTGGTACCTCTAGGTACGTATCTGGTGTACCATTTGTTAGACCAGAACAAACCTTAAATAAAAAACACAACTTCCACTATCTTTTACCAGCCATTGATGTCAGGAAATGTATTTTCTCCCCTTTTGTAAGCTCCCGAGTCTTGAACATATTTCTTTTTAGAGATAATACTCCCTCTATCCCAAAAATAAATTTACTTCTATAGATTCTTGACAAGCTTATCCACATTCATATATAAAAGTAGACTTAATACGCAAGGAGTAGATATAAATCCGGCCTCTATATATTTATAAGTGGATATACACAACCTCCTTAGTATAAGAATTATGGCGGCATTATCACTCATTATACTATCGCCGTGTTTAGTTCCAAAATATATCTTCAAACTTCCAACTTTTCCATCACATCAGAACTTTCCTACACACATAAACTTCCAACTTTTCCAATTTCAACCAAACTTCCAATTTTGACATGAACTAAACACACCCTATGTATCTAGGCATTTTGGACTTTTTGGAGGCTACATCATAGCCTGTGTGTTCACGGTCGCTGATTCGCCTTTCTACTGTCCCTCTCCCACCAGTGAAGCTCCAACCCCAGTCTCAAGCTACTCTCTTCCTCCCATGACCAAGAAAATTTGCAAATGGACTAAACCATAAACATAGCTTGTCAGTCTTGTCTTTCTGGTTTAAGGGAAGTAGTGAGTAGTGCGCTTTGATCCATCACAGAAGACAGGAACGAGTAATCTCTTTTAGTTTCCATCTCTAATGGATTATTTGAACCACAAAGACGAAAGACAACCTTGCCAAACACAGCAACATGATTGTGCCCTCACACACTTGATTACTTGAAGAACAATCATATGCCAACAGAAAATATGAGTACTTTTAACAAGAAAACCAACAACATAGTTATCGTGTGATCAAAGTGTTGGTGTGTTTCCACACGAAAGAACAAGAAAACGCCAACTACTACTATAACAACCTAAGCATAACTGTTCATGATACAACAATTATCATCTAGTCACACGTTCACTACTTTAGCCAAACCTGTGAGCTGTCATGCAATGGTCACACTCACACACTTTGCGCCTCAATTCAGTTCAGTTATTTCTGTTACACACAGCTGCAGATGCTTCTCTGCATAACTCCATCAGAGGTATTGGAAAAAAGACCATGAACATACATACCTCAATGAGAGCTTTGTAGCTTCACAGCAATGGCTACTCTTTCTCTTCCTCTCCACTCCCAGATAGCTCTGTGGCGACAGCGACGACGACGACACGACTTGTTTGAGAGGATCAGCAGCTGCCATCAGTTCAAGCATGCAGGCTGGAGATTGCAAGTGAGCTACAAGGGGCTTGAAACGCTTTACGACGATGGGTACCAGAAGGCTAAGGATCTGGATTATTACTACAGATCACTTGGAGAGCTGGTAGAACATGACAGTGGACCGCCACGCTTGTTCTGTCCCGTTGATGCCGGCTCACCCATTGAGGATGCTCCACTCATGCTGTATTTACCCGGTACAGTTATACCGAATGTTTGTGTTGTAGAATCCTCAATAGTTTTGTCCTGCAGCTTAGCCTTTATTTGATTTGATTTGGATTGGAAACTTTTCAGGGGTAGATGGTATGGGGATGGGGCTCTTCATGCACCACAAGGCACTTGGAAGGTGAGATCACTTCTAGATACTTTCACTTGTCTGCAATTTTTATCAGGCCTTCTCTTAGAATATGATGAGAGCTCACAATTTTATAGGAGTTGATTATAGGCAATTTAGATTACAATGATACTACATGGGTTCAATTTTTACGACTTCCGTAATAATACTAGACAAGTTGTCTTTGAATTCACAGGATTTTTGAACTAAGATGTATGCACATTCCCTTCCACGACCGCACGCCATTTGAAGGTATCAACATATCTGTGAATTAATTTCTGTTTGAAGTATTTCCATCCATACATGAATTTTTAAACTTATTTCATTATTTAGAGCGAATAACAGATAATGTGAAGTTCTCAGATTGCATGGTTTTAGCTGTTTTTCATTTTCAGAACTTGTTGAAATGGTAGAGGATGTTGTGAGAGCAGAGCATGCCACTTCACCTAATAAGCCCATCTACCTTTTGGGGACTTCTTTTGGAGGATGCATAGCACTTGCAGTAGCTGCTCGTAATCCTTGCATCGATTTGGTGTTGGTACTGGTTAATCCAGGTATATCTCCAAATAAATCTGCTGTTGCATGAATAAAATTTGTGATACCTAACTTTATTTTCCTTTTTTCCCTGGAAAAGCAACATCATTTGAGAAATCAGACATAAAACAGCTCCTGTCGGTTTCCAGCCCGTTGTCGGATCGTGCACGGATTGCAATTACATCTCTTCTGAACTACAATATTGGTAAGTATTTCCTAAGTTGCAGCACAGAAGATTTAGAAAAAGATATGTAAGAACGAAAATAACCAAGCATAATGAAACATTTAATTGGCTGAAATAACCTGATAACTACAGGACTGCTTTCCAGTTTTCATCATTTAATTTCTGTACTTTGCCATAAGTTGTCACATTTCCTGTTTAATAACTCTGCATCCGCTTCTTCTGTTCTTCCTGATCATGAGGGCAGACAATGAAGTTGACATGGCATTGAGTAGCATGAAAAGTGGAAGACATCCTTTAGAAGCACTAAACAGATTAACAAGTAATATATCATCATTCCTGAAGCATTCGGTATGTACCGTTCTTTTTTGTGCGTCCCGCTACTATGTCCCATTTTATCAAGCCAGGAGAAAGGGGGACGAGCAGTAGAAATGATTTAATTTTCTGCTTATATTTAATTAATGTGGCTTTCAAATTCTATAATTTCACTGTAGAACATACTAAATAAAATACCGGAGGACACTCTAGGATGGAAAATGAAGCTGATCCAACAGGCTGCTTCATATGCTAATTGCCGTCTAGAATCAGTTTCAGCTGAAGTGCTACTGCTAGTCAGGTTTCTTGCTACCTTAAGCAACCCATTTATCTCTGGTTTTCTACCTTTTCAATTTCACCGTTCTTGGACATAGTTTCAGTCAAGCTATCCCAACATGAGTATTTTGCTTCTGTTGGATCTCGATAACTACATTTCTGTTATGATGATCGAAAACGTACTTTGGTATGTTTGCATTCAGCTGTGCTGACAGATTACTTCCAAGCAAATCTGAAGCTGACAGGCTCCAGAGAATGCTACCTAAATGCAAAGTGTTCTTCTTCGAGAACCATGGGCACAGCTTACTGTTGGTGAGGTTCAGCAGCCATATGCAAATTTAGAAAGACATTTTTTTCAACTGAAAAGAACAAAATGTAGAAGTGAAGGAAACCCTGCTGATGGTAAAACTCAATAAAAAATTCAGGAGTACGGTGTTCATGTCTCGTCGATCATCAAATGCACCAGCCTTTACCGCCACTCGAGGCGGTACCACCGGGTTTTCGACTACATCCCCCCATCAGCCACTGAGCTCAAGGAGGTCGAGAAAGCTGGCAGGTAACAATTCAAAGTTTTGCTGAATTCCTAAACTTCTACCATCACTATGAATTTCTGAACATGTGCTGTTGAGACTTGAAAGTTCAGTACTGATTTTTTTTCTTTTAAGAAAAGACAAAATTCTAAATCTTTAAAATCACTTTGAATCTCTGAACATGTGCTGTTGCGACTTGAAAGCTCGGAGCTGAATTTCTGAATTTTTACCATCATTCTGTATTTCTGAACATGTGTTATTGTGACTTGAAAGTTCAGAGCTAAATTTCTGAACAAGTGTTGTTTAGACTTGAAAGTTCAGTACTGAATTCCTGAAGTTCAGTACTGTTCTTTTTTTTTTCTCTTTTCATAAAACAAATTCTGAATTTTTACTATCACTATGAATCTCTGAACATGTACTTGGAGAATTGAAAAGGTTCACTTCTGGATTTCTGAATCTCTGAACATGTAATTAAATATTGAGAGTAAGAAAGTAGAGTGGCTCACCATGCATCCATGAACATGGATGAAAATGGGATGGATGAAAAAGCAGTGACCTGAGGGCGAGGACGTGCCCGGCGATGTTCTCGACGATGGGGGACGGGGTGGTGGTGCGGGGGCTGGCGGGGGTGCCGGAGGAAGGGCCGGTGCTGCTGGTGGGGAACCACATGCTGCTGGGGATCGAGCTCATCTCGCTGGCGACGGAGTTCCTGCGGCGGAAGGGGAGGGTGCTCCGGGGGATCGCGCACCCGCTGCTGTTCCCCAACAAGACCAAGACGTGGTCCGAGGGCCACGACTTCTTCGACTTCCTCAACCTCTGGGGCGGCGTCCCCATGACCTACAAGTACATCTACCAGCTGCTCGCCGCCGGCGAGTTCGTCCTCCTCTACCCCGGCGGCCACCGCGAGGCACTCCACTGCAAGGTAGTACAGTACAAACTTTTTTCTTTTTACTACTGCCTTCATCCCAAAATTTTCAGGTCATTTATTATATATAAAGACTATCTTAAAATGCTGCCGCAAGTTTCTTAATTAGAAAATTGTCAAAAATATAACTATAATATAATAATTCCATCGTAACTATATTATAACTATAATACAACTTGTATATAAAAATAATAAAAAATATGTAACTTTTTATATCTAAATTATATAAAGGTTATAATGTAGTTGCAGCGTAGTTGCAATAAATTATAATTATTGTAGATATACTGTAACTACAACGTAACTTATACACGAATCTTGACACATCATCATATGGCTGAAAATTCGACCATTTTCCCCTTATTAACTACCTAGGCTGGCATGTACTATCTCGGGTTTCGAATTTGCTATATATTTGTGACAAATTTTCCTCCAAAAATTTGTCAGATGTAATTACAGTACAATCGTAGTGTAATTACACTGTAACTTGCATGTAATTACACTGTAACTATAATGTAACTTGTATGTAACTTTCAAGAATCTCTCGGTACTATGTTATTTCAGTAAAATAGAGGTCGTGGGAACAAATCCTTTCACATATGTGTGTGCTGTGATTTTTTTCTTCCTCACCAGAACAAATGTTGTAATAGATTTAACGATTCAAAATTACATGAAACTTAAATACAAGTGTAACTGTAGTTACATACAAGTTACAGTGTAATTATTACTACGATTATACTATAATTACATCTGTCAAATTTTTAGAATAAAATTTATCGATAAATATATAGTTAGTCCCCTCGGGTTTTAATGCACAAAGATTATCTGTCTTATTTAAAATTTAATATAAAAATATAAAAATATATGTTAATATTGTACCATTTTTTATAAAACAAGTCATAGCAAAATAAAAACAATTATATATTTTTTTAATAGGATGAAAGTCAATGGTGTTGTATATTGAAAAACGGCAGGAATAATATTTACATGGTGTATTTGTTGTTATCTTTTGGAATTGCGTTCAGGAACCCTACAAAGTTCATAAACAAATCACATTTTTAAGTTCAATTTTAGCAATTGGTTGGTTGTGATTTGAGTATTGATAGCAGGATTCGTAATTTTAGACCAAAATACTTGGAAAAAAACAGGGGTTTAAGATGTGCTTCCAGACGAAAATATTGTCTTTTTTTTAAAAAAATAATTAGCAGAACCTTACTTGGTCCAAGTCTAACAATTATGTTTCCAACTGATGATGCACTTATGTGTGCTCTGGAATCTATCTAGGGTGAAGAGCACAGACTGTTCTGGCCAGACCAGACTGAATTTGTGAGGATGGCAGCGCAGTTCAACGCCACCATTGTGCCCTTCGGAGTCGTCGGAGAGGACGACCTAATGGAAGTAAGCGAATCCACACGCATCATACTGCTCTACTGTTCTTAGAAAAAAATCATACTGCTCTGCAGCTAACAATTCAGACCTGCATTTGCATGATCGCGATGCACTGAGCCTGAGGATTAATTTGCTTCTGCAGCTGCTCTGCACTTTCGAGGACATTAGGAACGCACCCTTCGGCAAGGAGATCATGCAAGCATACAGCAACCATCTCAAGCTAAGGTAATTCACACCGATTTCATTCCAACTTTGAACAGTAACAGCTAAATTCATCCCAAATCTGACCAAACCATGAACCATTAATTTACTGAAAAAAAATGCAGGGACATCGACCACGAGGTGTTCTTCCCGGGGGTGTATCTGAAGATCCCGGGCAGGTTCTACTACCGGTTCGGGAAGCCGATCCCGACGAAGGGGATGCAGGCCGTGATGACGGACAAGCAGGCCGCCGGCGAGCTCTACCTGCACGTCAAGTCGGAGGTCAAGGCCATGATCGCCTACCTGCTGGAGAAGAGGGAGGAGGACAAGTTCAGGAGCATCCTCCCCAGGATTCTGTACCAGCTTGGTTGCGGCCACGACTCTGAAATCCCATCGTTTGATCCTTGAGCAGAGCTAGCTGAAATGTGCATGCATGGATGGATGCACACCTCAAAAGATCTAGATTCAAACATGGAACAAACAATTTATTTTAGTTTCGTGTCACAAAATTCATTGAGTAGGCCATACATAATCTTTAAGTTTGGATATGTGATGGTATGAATCGGGAGTCATTTTGCTATTGGGTGTACTTTTAGGCATTGTTATCTTTGTTGTTCTTGTAAATCTGATATAAACCAAGGAGATGTGACAGAATACATGGTACCCTCATTAAATACATCCCAAGTAGTTTTCCAAAGCAGATGAGCTAATAACAGTTGTGACGGTATACGACTGAACTTCCACCATCTCAAGGTGACACTCTACTGCTGTGTTATATCCCTTCCCTGTCCCCTCGAGAAAGAGAATTAACAAATCCTAATGCAAAGTGGCGAGAAACTCAAGGGCCACACTTCCTCCAGGCTTTCTTTCCACGCTATTATGGATAGTCAACTAATGGTAAAATTTGAATTCAATTGTCAATCGGTCCTATCAAAAATAGGATTGACTATATATTCGAGTCATAGCCAACAATAGGTATTTTAACATAAAATTTAAATTAAAATAACAAGTAATATAAAACAAAGAGAGTACTATTTCGTTAAACTGATCATGATCTCACAGATCATAATTATAGATTAGGAACCGAGGACCAAATAATGAACCTGAAAAACCTGAATTCCCCTTCTTCGGTCATTCTTTCAATCACACGATCAACTTGGATTGTTACTACCAGCTAACCGAATAAACCAAACACCCACGTTGTTCCAGGCCTCCAGCCCACACCCCCACCCGGGGGGGGGGGGGGCACCATACATCAGGAGTGAGGACGAGACCTAGATCTTATGGCAATTTAACTATTTGTCACTTTTAAGTTTGATAATTATCCAAATAATTAGCTGGGTGACCAATCAATTGCGCGGCTAGCCCCATACAAAATTATCAATCTTTTAGACATGATTTTTTTTCTTAAAAAATGTTAAATAGCCATCTCGTTGTTTCAGACTTAAAAACATTGAATCTACCATTATTGTGTTTTTAATTTTATAGTTTTTAAAATTTACACTGGCCGCCACCCCTTGCTTCTTTATCACCTCTTTATTTTTTTGTCCGACGTACCACGGTTTCTATCCATCCTTCTTGGCACCTTTAAAAATCAGATATTATAGTTTTAGAGTTTATTGTCTTGTTGGGTTCCTTTTTATAGTTCTTAGAAGTCTCATCAAACGCCCGTGAACCCTCTCTCTTTATGTTATTGGGATTTAAAAAATCAAACCTGATTATCGTTGGTTATTTTTTAGTTTCTAGAAGTCCCATCAACCGTCGGGACCATGTTATTTAACGATGCCTGTTGCTCCCTTTTTAATTGTCATTAGGATTGTGAAAATCAAACTTAATCATCATTGGGATTTTGTTTTATAGTTTTTAGATGTCACATCAACTTCCACCACTTGCCCGTTGCTGCTGCTCTCTTTATTGTCAATTGTCACTGTTATGTTCAAGACAGACGGTTCTTTCAATATTCTTCATTTTTATTCCTGAATTTTGTTATTTATAAATTGTATTCATATTTGAACTCTCTTTTTTTTATTTTGGAATGTATTTTATATTTTATTATTAATTTTATTTAATCTTGTTTTTTCTACGGCTACAGTTCTTTTAATATTTTTTATTCCTAATTTAATAAATTATTCCTCCTTGTACTCTCATATTTTTCTAATCTTAAAATTTATTTTATTTTATATTTTGAATTTTAATTGATCTCGTGTTCTAGATGTTTCTTGTCCTTATTTTTTTATTCCGAACATCAGTTATTTATAAATTATATTCCTACCGTGCACTAGTATAGAACTTCTAATATGTAATGGCATTTCCCGTGTCGGGGGCATGCGGACCGTCACACCGCCATCATCTCTAACGGGAAATAAACACCGACAAAGATATACTCGTACAAACATTATCCATATGCATGTATTTCGAGCCCGTCACCGATGAGACCTATCGGTGACAGGCTCATGTTTAGGCTCGACAAAAATTATCTTAAGCCCGTCACCGATACGTCTCATCGGTGACAGTCTCTAATTTAGGCCTGATGAAGATAATATTTAGGCCCGGAGGGGGAGATGAAGGGTGTGTGAGAGGCTGACTATTGGGTCCTGCACTGTTTTCTACCCTAGGTAGCCAGTTTGGCATGCCATGCGAGCAAAAATGATAAATAGTCAACAAGCCACCACCTTAGAGGAAAATAACAAGAGCAATTTTAAGAAGGGTATTTGGATAATTATTAAACCTAACAGTGGCAAATAGTTATATTCCCCAAGATCTTATCCCCTTGGCAACACCTCTGCTCCTCATCTCTATGACTCGTTGACTCGACGACATCTGTGCATCATAGAGCGAACGGCTTCGGCTCGAGACTGGGGAATCCCATCGAGGCACCATCGCGGCGGGGTAGGTGTGTGGCGGCGCTGCTAATGGTGACAGCCATGGCGACATACGACTGAAATCAAATCCGAGTGTCCGACCACGCCGTCATCCTCCAAGACGGCAAATGGCTCCCCAGCCTCCCTGCGTACAGGGCCTCGTTCTAGCCTCCGGGAGGTAGCATTGGTGCCTCTATCCTTTCCGCCTCGACCACTTGTTGTTGTCTTCCCTGCGAACGCTCTCGTCATCCCAGTCGAAGGGATTCCTGCTTGTTCGGCTCCGATGTGTGCCTCCGAACTGCTGCCTGCCGTTGGTTGCCTGGGCTTTGGGGAGCCGCTGCGATGTTCGGTTAAACTCAAACAAGACCAAAGACCGACCCGATAGCTCGGTTAACCGAATTATCGGTCAGAAAAGGAACTACCTAATATGAGCAATTTTACAGTCCTTAAAGAGATACCATGAGGTACCACTTTTTTCTATTATAAATTTAGTACCTTTTAGTGCCTAGGTACTATGAGATACCAAAAATTACATTAAATTTTTGGTACCTCCTCCTAAAGGACTATAAAATTACTAGCGTAAGATACTTTTGTGGATCACTTTTGGATCTGAAAAAAAATACAGATGGTGATAGAGCAGCACAACCACATATCGAGAAGAAAAGAGAAGAGAGAGAAGAAAGCGGCTACAGATTTGTAGCCAGCTGCAACACGGACTTCAAGACGTTATATGTGTATGAGAGGTGGGATCGGATATTAATGGTATAGTATATTTTTATAGTTAACTATTGTTTTTTTTTGCGGGGATAGTTAACTATTGTATGAATGGGCTATTAGATTAGCTATAGTTGATTTGGAGCCAGTAGTTGGCTATACTATTAAACTTGCTCTGATAGAGCAATTCTTGCTCGGAAGTTACGATATGGCCAATGTAGATATATGATGGTTCTTGATGGGTAGCGTTGAAATCTCGTAGCGATACAGGCTCCAATTTTGTTGGGGAGTGGAAACCGGCCACGTGCAGAATTCTGGAGCGTTACTCTACAGGACTCCTCGTACGTTCTGGCTGTCGTCGACTGTAAAATGCTGTCCACACGGACGGTCAGGATCGCGTGCACGTCGGCCTCAAGAGGTTTCGACCCAAAAACGAAATGCATATATACCGCAGTACCGCACGCATGTGGGCGTGGCAGAGATCGATAGATCACTCTGAAAGGAAGTTCAGAAGTCCACTTCCATACACGTAGCCCAGCAGTAAGAGATAAGCATATGATACCTGCATATTTTATTTTTTTGATGATAATGATATGAATACGGTGTGCGCAAATCAAAATCATTTTACTTGTATGACTATCCAACCAAATCCGTTGCTTTCCATGACCACACACGCACTGTATGTCAGTATGGGATATACTGTTTATATTTTACTCTGATTACGTGAAATACACACATATATGGACGAGGAATTATACCTAGGTTTGTGCGTCATTGTGTATTTTACTCATCCTGCTTGCTGCATAGTTGAACTGTATTCATTTCATCATACAATACCAAATTAATATCATCAAATCAAATGTTAAATATATTTGAATAGTATTTCCGTTTGTTGTTGAAAATATTGTTTTGTTTTCCTATAAATTTAATAAATTGACTAAGAAAAAAAATCAAAATGTTTCATAATACAAAACAGAGGAGTATTTATAAGGAAAAGAATATTTAAAGCTCGGTAACAAAGAGATTGAACCTAAACCAATCAGAATAGACAACATTATTAAGAATAATGCTTATGCAAAACATGGACAAATAGCATTCGACACTACTTTTAATCAGATTTTACCATCAGCATAATAGTTGGAATATTTTTAGGGTGACGGACCGTATTTTTCATATAACTCATGGCAATTAAAAAAATGGCCACGGTACTCTCTTTTTGTTTCAAAATAAATTAATGGTTAAAATATAACCTTTATATAGATTTTTCTTATTGATGTATATCGATTTATTTTGGGACGAATTGCGCATAGTATCACATCCACTATATAGTAGTGTCACCACCTCTCGTTCTCGTTCCCACCACAATTCAAATCACGCTCCCCTCTCCATCGATCCACCCCCAATATACGTGGCTCTGCTTCCTCTTCCCCTGTTCCTCCTCCCCTGTTTCCTCTCGTTCTTCTCCAACTCACCCTGTTTCTCTCACCAAATGCCCGTAGTACGCTGCTAACCATGTCCATGTCCATCGCGCTCCACGCCGTCCTCCCCCCCGCAGCCGCAACTCCCCGTCGGCGGCCCACCCGCCTCCGAGCGAGCTCGACGGAGGCGCCAGCGAGCGGGGAGAAGGGGCAAGAGGACACGGACAGGAAGAGTGGAACGGGGATGAGGAGGAGGAGGAGGAGAGCGAAGAAGGTGCAGGAGGTGGGGCTGGAGGCCCTCTACGACGACGGCTTCGGGGAGGCCACCGTCAGGGACTACTTCGACGCGCTGAGGGCCACGCCGCTCGACGGCGGCGGCGGCGGCGGCCCCCCGCGGTGGTTCTGCCCCGTCGAGTGCGGCCCGCCGGCGGTCCACGCGCCGCCGCTGCTGCTCTTCTTGCCAGGTCTCGGTCACGGCCCCGCCGCTCTCCTTGCTTTCGCTGATTCGCTCGGTGACACAATCAAACAAACACTTTGTGTGCACAACACACACAGAAACAAAAAAAATAACCATTTACTTTCATTTACACTGGAAATAGCTTAACAATGGCAGTTCATGTTCATGTTGCGAATTCTGAATTTCCGATGCGACAAGTTCGTGTTCCAAACTGATTTTAACAGTTTTGAGTTGTGGCTGGTCTGTGCTGCACTCTTCTTCAGGGTTTTAGGATTGTTAGAAATCCATAGACAAAATTAAAAGGTTTTGTCATATGCCTGTGTTCATGAATGTGTTTGTACTAACGCTGTTATTCGAATTGACTGAATTGCAGGAATCGACGGTGTTGGAATGGAACTTATCATGCAGCACAAATCTTTGGGCAAGTAAGTGCGTTCCCTTCTTGTGTAAGATATACCCATTTTAACTTTTCATTGTGCACGTTTGGATTAAGACTTTTTTTTTTCAATTCAAGATAAACTTTAGCTGCATTTCTTTGTTCGAATGGTACTGCTAAAGGATATGCCAAAATATAATATTGCAATTTATTTTACTAACATACTGTGCTAAATCATTGAATATCTGCAAAATATAATAGGGTGAAAACACTTACATTTGCATGTCCGTTCTTTTTTCTTTTTTTGTCATATAGGTAGTCTTCGTACATTTATAAATTACTCCTAAGTTTCAGACAAGTTCAGTTAGATGTTCAGAACGTGTAGCTAAGTAGTACTAAATAACTGACAATCAAGCTTTACGTAGTTTCACTGAATTAAATTACAGTAGATAGTTCACGTATGCCAACTGTGTCTTATATCCAACTTTTTTGGCTCTTAGGGAAATAAGGCTTCGTTCGATGCAGCATAAAAATCGAGCATTTCAGGGGTACGGAAATCGGAGCAAGCAATTAACACATAATTAATTAATTAATTATTACACATAATTAATTAATTGTTATAAAAATGAAAATTGGGTTCATTTGAATTTTTTAAAAAACTTTTATATAAAAAGTTTTTGTAAAAAATACACCGTTTAGCAGTTTGGGAAACGTGCTAGCGAAAATGAGGAAGTTGAAATTTAAAGTTGGAGTTTAGAAGTGCAAATAATTTAATTTCATTCCCTCCTTTTATCAACAGGGTATTTGAGGTCCGCTGCTTGCATATACCGGTCAATGATCGTACACCATATGAAGGTAATAATAGACGTCTTGTTTTAGATATGTTATCAGCGTCAGATTAACATGTCCATGTCCTGACAAGTATACTTGACTATATGTACTTGCTACAACTATAACTTACCCTAAATAGGGGAGCAGAGCATAATGTTGCCAAGTGGTATGCCATATATGGTGTGGACTCCATGGTGCTTGTGGTCATTGTCATGGTCTTGTGGGTGCAAGTTCTCATTCTTCTTGAAGTCAGAGATCTGCAGTTCATCTTTTTTTTTTAAATAGGGAACATATTAATGATTAAAATCAACACAGTAAAATTTAGTATTCTCTGATTCAGGTATGAAGAAAGGAAATACGAGCACTAATCAAGGTTCCCTTCACTAACATGTTTTGAAGTAAAATTCATACAGGGTTGTTACAAATTATGGAGGAATCTGTCAAATATGAGCACAATTTGTCACCAAACAGACCAATATATATCATTGGAGATTCCTTTGGTGGATGTTTGGCTCTTTCTTTGGCATCACGAAATCCAGAAATTGATTTGGTTCTTATACTAGTAAATCCAGGCAGGTGAAACCCTTTTCGTCTCAACATTAAATTTCAGTGTCATATAGCAATCCAAAAATAATATGGTTCTTACACTATAGATTTTAGAATATATTAATCTGTTTTCTACAGCAACATCATTTGCGAAAACTCCGTTGCAGGCAATATTGCCTCTTTTGGAAATGGTGCCAAGCAACCTTCCTGTCACTCTCCCTCACCTTCTCAGATATTTGATTGGTATATTTTCTTGTCTTCCTAATTTTGTCCCTCTTTTGGAATACTAGTCCCTATAAATCGATGGCAGAACTTTTACCTTTTAACTCCAGCTGTGTTTTAATAATGATATTGATAGATTTATGTTCAAAGTAAACTGTTGAAGATATAATATTTCAATTATTTTGTTTGCAGTTCATGCTCAAACTTATTTCATACTGTAAAACGTCCATGTTTACAGACAACTCAAAGTTGCCTTTCTTCTGCATTTTCTACAATTATCCCGAGTTGCAAAGGTCATCAATATGTAAAATAAACATCTTTCATACAATTTAGTTTAGCAGAATAGAAGCAGAAATATAAATGAAAATAGTCTCAACAAACAGCATTTTCTAATTCTTTAAGTTTTTATTTTTTCATCCATGTGTGAACCACTCTAGCTCAGCTCCTGAAGTATAGTTTTTTTTTCCTTTCTTTTTTATTTTGGTGCTAAAATGTTAATCAATGGTTGACTCTGGATCTGCCTAGCTGGTTTAGTCAACTTGAGAAATCAAAACCTTTTTAAGATGTTCTTGTTGTGAAATAGGTGATCCTCTTAAGATGGCAATGGTTAGCATTCAGAACAATACCTCTCCTCAAGATACTCTGGAAAGTTTTTCAGACAGTCTTTCTTCAATGCTACCTTTACTTTCAGTAAGCTATAATTTCCTTCTCCTTTTTCATTTTATATATGTTTTCATTTGCACAATAAGCATTGGAATTTGTGTAACATAGCAATTTATTTTGTTCTATAAATATGATATATAGGTCTTAAATATTTTTATCACATGTGCAAATAATCTTTGCATAAAAAGTAGGAAGAAGCATCCCATCCTTGTTTTGATATCCTACTGAATGAAAGAAATCAGCGAAAACACAGATCGTCATATTAGTCTTTCGAACTTCATGGTTGATAATTCTCAGGAATTTGGACATATCGTACGAATGGATACTCTTGTGTGGAAGCTCAAGCTTCTTATGTCAGGTGTAGACTATACAAACTCTCGTCTTAATGCAGTACAAGCAGAAATTCTGCTTCTTGCCAGGTGCCCTTCCTATAAAAATATCTCATATTTGGCAATTTTCTACTCTTTGTTGTATTTAGATATTTACATATTTATTCTTGAACTATAAATATTTGATATATATCTGGGTTTACAGTGGCAATGACAATCTTCCTCCAAGTGGAGAAGCAGATCGACTGTTTAAGGCACTGAAAAGTTGCAAAGTTCGATACTTCAGGACTTCCAGCGATAGATTACTCATGGTACATACTTTTAATAATTTTCTCACAATTGCTTCTATTTCTCCACTTCATTGGTCATTTCCAGTGCTTAATTATGTATAGAAATTATATATGTACTATTATTTATCTGTTGTGTTGTCCATTAGAAAATCTCAGCAATAGAACATTTCCACAGGAGAGCAGCTTTAATCTGCTAACTGTCATAAAAGGAGCCAGCATGTACCGCCAGGGCAAACAAAGGGACACTATCACTGATTTCCTCCCACCTACAATAAGTGAATTCAAGAGAACATTTGGTGAAGATTTCAAGTATGCATTCAGATTCTCAAATATCAATTGTACTTTCGTTAAACAGATTGAATTGATCAAAAGAAAGCTGGGAATTTCTGCAGGCTGCTTCACCATTTGCTGAGCCCAGTCATGCTATCTACTCTGAGAAACGGCAAAATCGTCCGCGGCCTCGCCGGTGTTCCTGACAAAGGCCCCGTCCTGTTGGTGGGTTACCATCAGCTGTTGGCAATGGAGATCACTTCAATGGCTGAAGAGTTCTTGAGGGAGAAGAAAGCAGTTCTGCGAACTTTGGCTCATCCAGTGTTTTTTGTGGGGAATTATGAGATTTTGCGCCAGGAGCTATCTTTTTTTGACGTAGTCCCATTGTATGGGGGAGTACAAGTCAGTCCGATTAATACATATAGGTTATTTGAGAGAGATGAATTTGTTCTCCTCTATCCTGGTGGTATTCGAGAAGCTCTACATAGAAAGGTTTGCTTGAAACTTTACATTTATCAACTACACTTTTGTGATGTCTTTTCCTTCTCAATATATTTGTTCTGCTGAATTGGGCAGGATGAAGACTACCAGTTGTTTTGGCCAGATCAACCAGAATTTGTAAGAATGGCAGCACAGTTTGGAGTTACTGTCATACCATTCGGTTGTGTAGGAGAAGATGACATGTTAGAGGTAGTTTGCTCTGGCTTTTAACAGTAAATCATCTGAAATAATATGGTTTCCAAATAGCATATATGCTTTCTTATGATGTGGAATTTATGATCGGTGCTCAGTGGAATATAAAACTGTATCTGTTCTTTTTTAGGGATAATGTATTTATACCTTGTTTGTACTTTTCACAGATAGTTCTGGATTACAATGAACTAAAGAACATCCCTTATATCAGAGAAACAATAGAGTCGTTCAACCAAGATTGTCCAGGAGTAAGGTCAGATCTCTGTACTTTGTCTTTTCTTCCTTTTGTTAAAAAAAATAAAGGAAAGCATACTGTTAATTGGCAGCGTATCCTATGCACACACCTATCTTGGTGCACTCATGCACTCGGCCACTGTCGGCCTTTCGATTCTAATCCAAAGGCTAAAAACGCAGGTGCGGCATTTTTGCAGAAAGCCGCCCGCAACACCTGTGTATGTTTGCAGAAAACCCCTCACTTCCCTTCGTCTTCTCTCGTCCAAACCTCCTCGATCCAGATCTCATCTCCATGCGATGGGGCTGAACAGAACGACGATTCATCTCGATTTTCATTGAATCCTGCTGCTAGGGCTAGCATCGGCCGACACGCCAGGCTGCGGCTGCCTCGGCGCTGTCCTTCACAGCCGGCGTGGCTGTCCAGCTGCTCGCTGAATGGTTCGTCTCCATCTATAGTGTCCGCATGGAGCCATGGAGGCCGTCGTTCCGGCGAGTCTCTTCGTGTTTTTTCTCTCGATTCTTCAGCTATAATGTCCATGTTTATTTGTTGATTTCTCTTCTTGTTTTTCTCCTGGTTGGACATGGCCTATTTTAATTATTGATATGGCAGCCTCGCTGCCATTTTTCCTCGATTGAACACCACGATGCTCCCCAGTCATGTCGCTGCTTGCCGGCCAAACGGGCCACTGTGCTGCTTGCTCGGCCAGCTCGATGTTCAGCTGCGTGTAGATGGACACAAAATCGCCAACAGCCATGCTGCAGGCGCCGACGACGAGTCCCGCCGGCCCCGACCGAAGGTGATAGAGCAGATTTGGGGATCGACCTGGATCGAGGAGGTTTGGACCAGAGAAGACGAAGGGAAGTGAGGGGTTTTCTGCAAACATACACAGGTGTTGCGGGCAGCTTTCTGTAAAAATGCCGCACCTGCGTTTTTAGCCTTTGGATTAGAATCGAAGGGCCGACAGTGACCGAGTGCATGAGTGCACCAAGATAGGTGTGTGCATAGGATACGTTGCCCTGTTAATGACGAACCTATTTTGAGTCCTTTTTTAGGGTGCAACCTTTTGTGAGTTTTGTTTCAGGAGTACTGTAAAAGGAGAGGAAGGAAATCAGGTCTTACACTTGCCTGCTGTTCTACCTAAATTACCAGGTCGGCTATACTATCTATTTGGAAAACCAATTGAAATGAAAGGAATGGACGGTGTACAGAGGGATAGGGAGAGTGCAAACCAATTATATTTGGACATCAAGTCAGAGGTGGAGAATATAATGTCTTATCTGAAGAGGAAGAGAGAGCAAGATCCTTACCGAAGCATCACAGCGCGCACGTTTTATCAGGCAACATGGGGAGTTACTGCTCAAATCCCTACTTTCGAACCATGAAAATTAGGTTCAAATGTATTTTGTGGGAATGAGATTAATTTATGAACATTGACAGCAGAAAGGGTGGGAAAGAAGATAAGATAAATACCACCTATTGCTTGTTCTATTAAAAAAAAAAGAACAAGAAAAGGACAGGTCTGTTTTACTTTCTTCTTCAGGATTCAGGAAGGCAAAATTTTCACAATTTTTGACAATTTGACCCTTTGAAAAAACTAATTTTACAAATGAACCGCCGCCAAAACTTATTTAAAAAATGACCCTTTTGTTCAGTGCCAAATCATCTGGCGCTGAACTTAGACACCTCAGCGCCACGTCGACTGGCGCTGAATGTCGTGCCACTGCGGACAGGAGGCTAAGTCAACATGCCAACGAACATTCAGCGCCACGCTATTTGGCGCTGAGGTGTCTAAGTTCAGCGTCACACGATTTGGTGCTGAACAAAAGGGTCATTTTTGAAATAAGTTTTAGTGGCGGTTCATTTGTAAAAATAGTTTTTGTAAAGGGTCAAATTGTCAAAATTTGTGCAAAATTTTGGGATATGTTGCAGCTTGTCATGTACTTCCCATATTCCATATGCCAATTGCATTGGAGTAAACTCTTAGATTAATGAGTTAGGCCCAATTAAATCCTAATAAATTCCATTGGCCCACATTTAGTGCTATGGGTAATAATACCACCTTGGAAATCTAAGTGAAGAGATCTCAACTAAAATACGGAGTTAGTGGAGAGTCTCTATTGACCGGTTGAGATGGTGGGTGGATAGCCAGGCGGGGCGGGGCGAGGCAGGCAGGCGGCTGTTGCTGCTGCTCCCTCTCTCTCTCTCGTTTTGTAACTCTCTTGTTTTGTAACGGACGGTGATAAACATGAGAATTGATTCCGTATTAACGAGCGCGTCGGTTAAGCGCTCGGTTACGGAATTATACACCGCGGTTGATGACCCTGAACGTTACTCTCGCGCTTGCATATATGCAATCTACAGCGACCAGAAGGATGAACAGAAGAATAACGAGTTCTTCAGTTCTTCCCGTCTCTTGCACTTGGACTCATCATCATCATTGCTTACATGGTTCAGTTCTTCAGTCGCGAATGCCACACATTGGACTTATCATCATCATTGCTTACATGGTTCACAACTTTATTACACATATCATCCAAAGAAAAGCAGAACAAGCCTCCACTGTCATAACCTTTTCCAATAAAAGTTTCATATTTAGATACGACACGTTATTGGATTCAAACACAAGTCTAAAACCATCTCTACACAGTAGAGAACCGCTAACTAGATTCTTCTTTATTGAAGGGACAAGCTGCACGTTCTTCAGCTGCACGGTCTTTCCCGAAGTGAACTACAGATCGACCGTACCAACACCATGAACAGCCGCAAGCGATCCATTTTCCATCAACAAGGAGAACCTCTCCCAACCTGATAAGAAGAAAACAGGAAAATGTCAGCACACACATGAATATTAGCATCAGTGTCAACCCACCAATCAGGTGAGTGACATATGGAAAGAACTGTAGGTAGAAATTTACCATAACTCGATGTTCCTCCGCCCTCACTAATAACCATGTTTGCAGACATCTTGTTCTTGCGCTTAGGACAATCCTTGGCCCAATGCCCAGACATGCCACACACAAAGCAATCTCTTTTTGCCTTTCCCTTGCCTGTTCTTCTTAAAATGTGTTGTAGCCTTGGGTTTGACGTCAGGTTTGACTTTCTTGTTGTTGTTGTGGGATGCATGAGGGTTCTTCTTTTGCACCAAATTGGCGCTAGAATCTCCCTTGATCTCAGTGGCGAATCTAGAATGGAAATATAGGGGGTGCTCCTTTCTAATGTGTTTTACAAAGTATGATGGAAGCTTGCATGCCATCTAAATAGTTCTAAACAATTTGAAAAAAATTTGACAACATGGATTGATATGAAATATATCACTCTGCAAATATATAACTTCTACAATTTGCAACAAAATTAACAAATTAAATTGAAAATAGTTATCGTACATTCACAATTATATTTTTTTTGCAACTTGTAGAAGTTGAATTTTAACTTGCATGTCTGCGGAGTGATATGTTTCATATTAATCAATTTTTTAAGATTTTTTTATGATTATTTAGATGACATGTACAAAACGAGGGGATATCTCCTGAAGGGATGAAAACGCTTTCCCATGATAGAAGACATAATACGACAAAGACACAACCACAAATTTAATAACACAATTGTTGATAATTGTTGGATTACTTTGTGAGTAAAAACCACTCGCTTCCCTAATCCCCTGATCGTTCCATCCATTAAAGTAGACAAAAAAAAAGCAAAAACTAATAGGTTAATAAGGAAGGCCTAACAGCCAATTAGTCCACTTAATCATCCATGGACCACGCCATGTTGTCTTTGTTTGCTCCTCCTTCCTTGCCACCTGGTTGTTCTGCACTTGTGTTATACGCTGCTCCTCTCCTGACGCTGTGTGGCTGCTGCTCTGCATGCAGGGCAGGGGTTTCTGCCGGCATGTAGCTGGGGCTCTAGCCCCAACGTTTGCTCTCGCCTTTTCCTCAACACCCAAAGAGCCAATGAGGTTAGTAACACTGAACTTTTGCCTCTTGTGTTTAGATAAGTAGCAAAGTCCGACCAAGAAGGTAGCAATTTGGCAATAATGCCTCCTGCCACAAACTTGTTTGGCAACTCGCAGTTGTTGTTCTCAAGTTTCTTTGGCATCATCTGAATCTCATGAGCATGTTCCACTACAGAACGGTCATCGGCCATCTTGTAGTCATAGAACCGCTCCATGACATACAGCTCGTTGCCGGCGTTGGAAACTCCAAACTTGGCCTCAAGAGCATCCCACATGTCCTTCCCTAAAGGGATGTGCATATACACGTCCACAATATTATCGGCGAGCACACTTATCAATGCTCCAGGGAACAAGCAATCCGCAGCCTTGAACTTAGCCTCCTCCTCAGGAGAGAGAGGCGGTTCACTCAGTTTGCCCCGTGAGACAAAGAAACATTGCATCGCTGTCAACCACAAAAGTGCACGTGATGTCCATCTCTTATAGTTTGAACCATCGAAAGCGTGTGGTTTTAGTGATGCAGCAAAGCCAACTACCGAAAAGGATCTATCAAGTTTTTTTGAGATGCCACATTTTTTAGAATGAATTTCATATGAAAAATGCACCTAGCACCTCTAGTCAAGAACCTATTTTATCCCCTGAGCACTTTACGCCGATAGAACACATTGATCAAACGCATGAGGAAAATCCTGAGGAGGATAGCATTGTAGCAACTCGAAAGAGTAAGAGACAAATGACTGCAAAGTCTTTTGGAGATGACTACATTGTATACCTTGTGGATGGCACTCCAAGAACCATTGAAGGGGCATATTCATCTCCTGACGCTGACTATTGGAAGGAAGCAGTTGTTAACAGTGAAATTTGGTAAGCCCTAAAGTCATCATCGGCTGAAAATCACTATCGGCTGCAGCATCACGGAATCAGCCGATGGGAGTTATCAAGTTGCCAATAGTCGGATCCCTGCTATATTCGGTTAAGGAAATCAATCTAATAAAGAAAGTTTATCCATAAGCAATCGAGTTCAAAGAGGATGCGGCATGGCAGTTTATCTATTAATTAGGAATAGTTTGTTAGTTTCCTTTTATCTTTAGAAAAGTATGTTTAGTGTCCGATAAGGACTTTATGTTTTCCTTTTATCTTTAGGATAATTTCTTTCTTATCCGACAAGGACTTGTATCAACCCATGGGTATAAATATGTACACCTAGGGTCTATGTACGTAATCTATCACTCTCAATCAATAATACTCTCGGCGCATCGCCACCCTCTTTACCGAGGTTTTTACTTATCTTTCGGCGGGATTTGGGCACCTGATGCGAGGCTGCATCGGCTTTCGATCTCCGGCGAAGGGGTAAGTCCTACGTTCCATCGGGCCCTGGTGAATCTGTCATCTACGTCGGCGTTGTTCAAGGCTGCGTCGCTCTGATATCTTGGATTGCTCTGGTTTGGTTGATTGATGTACCTACCTGATATCTCGATTCTATCTTTAATTGCATTGTGTTTAGAGACTCATCGGTTTAGTTAGAACTGTCTCGGTTAGGTCCGATCTTCTGTCTTAGCCAATATATCTCTACAATCACAATGTCGTTCTAGATAGATTTGCTATATCCATCACGTTAGACAGATCTATCGGCTCATCGAGTATTAGATTATCATATACAATCTCGTGCTGCATCGGTTAGGTTCGACCTACTAGATTGTTGTTGATAATATAAGTCTTGTTAAGCCGATAGGTTCATGCTAATGTTCTATCAGGGTGCTAGCCTATAAGTTATCTGGACGTTGCATCGGCTTATAAGGATTACATATACATACAAGTTGGATTTAGCCGATCGCAACAAAGGTTTCACTGTTTAATCTAATCTTGTGGATTTTATGGCATCGGACCTCCAGCCGATGTATGCTTTAACCTTCGGATCAGTGCTTATTCTATCATATCATTGCTAGCCGATTAGTTTATACTGGATCATATTTTTATTTTATTATATCATCATCAGCCGATTGCCTTTATATCATTATCTATATTGGACATATAGCCGATTGCTTAAACCCTATCGCTATCGGCTGGTATCGGCATCGACTGGGATTACTCCATCGGCTGTTTAGCCGATCGGCTATTTGATCTGTTATTTGTATATCTTGTCAGTTGCAGGATCAAACTGACTAGCACGCTCGCATCTCATCATCCTTTGGACCTGCACTGGAGCTAAGCAGATCTCCTAGGCCAGTGTGTGTTTTCCGCATCAACAGCGGTACGCAGTGAGATGGACTCAATTATGTCTAATGGTACTTGGGAAGTCGTCGAGCGTCCATATGGATGCAAGCCTGTAGGATGCAAATGGGTTTTCAAGAAAAAGCTTAGGCCTAATGTACAATCGAAGAGTAAAAGGCAAGGCTTGTGGCCGAGGGTTATACCCAAAAGGAAGGCGAGGACTTTTTCGACACTTACTCACCGGTTGCTCGCTTGACCACGATTCGAGTATTACTCACTTCGGCAGCCTCTCATGGTCTACCCGTCCATCAAATGGATGTTAAGACAGCTTTCCTCAATGGAGAGTTGGAGGAGGATATCTATATGGATCAACTAGATAGGTATGTACTAGAAGGTCAAGAGGGAATGGTGTGCAAACTGTTGAAGTCCTTGTATGGTCTCAAACAAGCGCCTAAGCAATGGCATGAGAAGTTTGATAAAACACTTACATCTGCTGGCTTTGTTGTGAATGAAGCTGACAAATTTGTGTACTATCGCTATGGTGGGGGAGAGGGAGTGATCTTGTGTTTATATGTCGATGACATATTGATCAAGGACTTTCTATCCAAAAGCTTTGAAATGAAGGATTTGGGAGTGACTGATGTTATTCTTAACATTAAGCTACTGAGAGGAGATGAGGGTGGGATTACACTTGTGCAATCTCACTATGTGGACAAGGTCCTGAGTTGCTTTGGTTATAGTGACTGCAAGGCAGCTCCTACTCCTTATGATCCCAGTGTGCTATTAGGGAAAAACCGAAGAGTAGCAAGGGATCAACTGAGATACTCACAGATCATTGGTTCATTGATGTACTTAGCTAGTGCAATGAGGCCTGACA